GAAGAATCATCGATGAATGTCATTGTGTATAATACAAGCCTGAGAACAAAAACTGTAGTGTACACTTCTGCTCTACACCGAAGCGAAGCGAGGGCGGGCAGCTAGTTTTGTATAAAACTGACTAATGCTCGCGCCCAATCGTCTGCGTCTTATGTCTTTTCTGTGTGCCCCGCGTCTGATATGTCAACTGAATATTACTTCACTTTGGCTTAGACTAGTTTATGCTTACAATACCTACCAAATTCAAAGTAGCTTATCCGCGACCTTATATTCAAGATGTTTCTACAATACATTGAATGTAATTAAACTAATTATTATCATAGGAAGAATTGTTTTGATAGATTATCCATATAGCTAACAACCAGTAAGTCAGTAATCAAAGTTACAAGGAAATATACCTACTATGGGCATGCCAGGAACACATCTGATTATATCTTACACTGCTTAAAAAAATTACAAAGTAATCTAACTTCACGATAGGAAAGTAAGAAATACTAATTACTATTAAAGTTATTGAGCTCTCCGTTACACAGGTTATTTTCTCGAAATTGCACCTAATTATCCTTTATGATATGCACCTTATTCGATTCAAAGTAAACCTATGCTGTATTTGCTCCACGTTAAAAAAACACAAATGCTTTTATTATTTGCATAGTGCCATTCGAAAGTCAGGTTCTAAAATTTATCTTGTCATAAAAGTGAAAGAAGACTTTTTTGTTATTTGTAGGTAACCATTTGAGAAATTCCTCTTCTGAATTAAAAATAAAATGAAATATATAGGTACAACATATAAAATGAAACATAACTTCATAAAACTACAGATAATAATAATTTTTGGTATGATTAATTTGGGTCAATGCAAAACTTTCCTGTAAATTAAATAATTTGCTCTAAAATAAAACATTCTCGATCTGGTTTTGTGCGTAAAATCCAACTGTTTCATCAGTTTATCTTAACTTTATTTATTAAAATGTTATATTAATGAAAATGGTTTAATATTTTTTCCTCTTGTGACTTTAGTCTATACCCATAAGTAAAGACAAAAAATGGTGTCTAACGGCACACCCATACACACAAAACACAGAGGTTTGTGTTAAAAGATACTTTGCCACATATGACAACGTTAACTCAGAGCAATTTAAAGAATGAAATATCAAGACTTAAAAATACATTAATTAGTTACTATTCCATTTGTATTAATTATTCGTTGTTCCATCAACCTACGTATACAAACATATTATATACACTTTAATTTTTATACCAAAGACTACAAATTACACTTAAATCTTTTTGATTTAAACTCTGTATAGGAACTGAGCCATTTCTTTTTAATATTGCTAAATCTGCACGACATCGTTTTTATTTGATTTATTTAAATTTTTATACAAAAACAGAATTAGCGTTTGCTACGTAGCCGAAGGCAAACTCGAATATCTCACTGTTAAAATTCACAAGATCGAGATTCTAAACGTTAACTGTTTCTTATCTATAATGTCATCTGAAAAATCTTTATATCTACTTAGCCCAATTAAAACATGTACTACCGTGAAATACGCCAACATTGCCTATAAGGGTATCTTTGCCATTTTAGCAAGTTACAAAGAAATCTTTGATGCGTAAAAATATCTTAATATTATGGCAAAATTGATTAACTTTGGGTCAAAGTAGGTTATATTTCTGGGATTACAATCTATTTTATGTATTGCTAGCTTCCCATAATAATGTGTGGAAGCTCTATAAAATAGGTGTGTGTTTTTGCGGGCCAATTTTGGTACACTTTTATAAGTCTATCGTGCATAATGGTGACAATATAAGTTTGTTTGCTTTTCATGTAAGAATAAACTATTTTCAGACCATTTTAGTGCTAGTGCCATTGCCGAGGGAACCAATTTTATAACGATGGCCAAAGTTATCCAGTATTGTTAAAACCTAAGATTGACAGCATTGCCCGTCACCAATAAAAAGGCCTAGGGTTGGCACCTGTGAATTGTGAATCTGCAAGAGTGACGTTAAATAACTACTATAATTTACATTAAGTAGGTATATAAAATATTTATTCATAATTTAAGTAAATTAAGGATTTGAAATAGTAACATCTTAGGTATTACTTGAAGTCAAAATTAAAGTAAAAAACAATATTGCTCTTATGGAAATAAAAGATTTATTACATTTAAAAATAGTATAAGTAATCATCATCATCATCATCATGCCCATTGCCCAGTCGTTTTAAAGCAATCGCCATCTTTTCTTAAATTCTACCAAGGTTTTTTTAGATTTTTACGTAGAGACCATACTGTCGTCAGAAGTCGCAGTGGGCAAGGTTGGCTAAAAGTCTACACAACTTTGCCTGCCATCGAAATGCTCCAAAACTCAAATTAAACGTTGAAAAATAATAAATTTTGATACGGCACTTCGTGCCCACAACCATAGAGTGAAAGAGATCTATTCAAAAAAATACTCGGGATGCCATTGCAAAAACTAAAAATAATAACGATTATTTGAAAAAAAAAACGTGTAATGTTGGCGTGTGTCACGGTACTGTTAACTTCGCTTTTTTATGCGAGAAAAACCTTCTTAAAAACTATCATACACATATATGTATATCCACGATTGATAAATAATAATGAAATATTTTTGGGCAAAATGAAAAATCAAAACGAATAATCGCGGACAAACACACATACATACGAATTATACAGGTCAAACTGAGAACATATTTTTTTGAAGTCTGTTAAAATAAGTGAAGTCAGCGTTTATAACATTCATTCAATTATTCAATTTTCTCTTGATCTAACAAAGTGCTCGTTTTATTCAATAAACACGTATAGCATAACAAAATACCTATCTACCTATAGACTAATGTATCTGGTAAATAAATATCTTTCTGTAATCACTTTTAAATCCACCAGTCTGGTTATAATGAAAAGAATTTTTTTCTGAACTGTATTTCTTTCATGCTTTGAATAAACTTATAGGACATCGGTTAACACAAAAACTTAACAAAACATATTTATGTAGCACCAAGAATTTATTAAACGATAATAGTTTTATTAGATATTTTAATATGACACCAATGATTTAGTATCTAAAACGCAAACAACAAAAAGAAATATTTTTGACTTAAATTAATTATCACTACTTCGCCGCGTGAACTTTGGAATTTATAAGATCCACAGGGAACTTAAATTGGGACTAGAAAAAAATTTAAGATTTTCCAGTGAATTGATATGACTGTTTATTGCTTTAATACGATCTGCAGTTTTGGTAATCGTATAAAAAGCTAACGATTTTTCAGGATAAAAAGTATCTTGCATGCTTATCCAGAAACTAAACTATGTATTTATTTGAATTTACACTGACACTTAGATTTGTTTTTTGCATGATTAAGTACACACATTCAAATATACAGACTACCTATCATATTTATAATACTAGTTATTTTGTTTAATTTACAAAAAAAAACTAAAGCGACGGTCACATGCATTTATATAAACAAAAAACTGGTTCTCGAAGTGCAAAACGAAAACGACATTGAAAATAACGCTGAAACTATTGAAAAGGTATACATGTAAATACCACACACACCTCCCTTACTCCTTACTTTTCTGAATGACGATAACGAATATTAATTGCTTGTGATTTTATAAGGCATGTACACTTTAGTTAAAACCTAACCAATGGACAGGCAACAGCGGGTTTACCTTTTATCGCAGATATTTTAATGTCATAATATGATTATACATATCAGCAAACAATAATTTGGCATACACGCAACTATCAGCAATTTTGTAATCCAGAGTCATCTTTAGGCATAAATTTAATAACCACATTATTATATATACAAATATTAAACTTTTCCTTGTTTATTTACTATTATTTCAGTTGCCTGGGGCTTCGCCGACCGCTGCCTCGGTACGCTCGCTTCGCTCGCTTGGTTCACGCTAATTTTTGGTAACAACACTAACCTAGCCTAACCCACTGACCGACACGTCACCGATAAAGCTTAATAAAATTTTGTTTTGTCATTTACAGCTTACCGCGCTTGAGATCCTAAATGGCGAGAGGCTCTAGTGGTTTTCTAGGCGAAGGGAATCTCTCCTCGAGTCTCTGCTTCACCGTAGAATCCCTAGGTCACCCGATCCTTTAATCAGGGATTTAAATGCTCCCTACAAGGGTTTCACTCAGAAATGGAAAATTGATTTAATACCTCATCATGCCACGTGTAGTCTTATTCTTTGGTTAACACTTAAGTGGTTACTACACCAAATTTAATCCAAGTTTAAGTTTAAGAGTTTGTTAAAATCTTTAGGGCCGGCCGTTACTAATATACTCAAGGTTGTAAATTAATCTACTTATAAGTTTTATCAAAGATTTAAATATACAAAAAATATGTGCCGAGGCAGCAGCTGTCGAAGCACCAGGCACCTGATGTAAAAGATAAATAAACAAGGAAAAGTTAAATATTTGTATATATAATAATGTGAATAAAGATTTCACTTCTAATCTTGTATTTAAAAAAATGATGTCCTTGTATTTAAAGAAGATTTCGATTGTATTTGTGAACTTTTTAACTGCTAACTGTTCTAGACTTGATATCAGGTTTAAACCTTAATCCCCTATGAATAAAAAAGGAATAATTTTCGAATAGCTACGCCGGGTTTTGTTAATGTCACTAAAATTTAATTTGACATTGAATGGACAGAGACAAAACATGGAATTACTAATCCAAGCTTATTCTTCGTTTATTAATAAGGGGGATACACATTAATTACCTTGTTGAACTTATATTTATGACACATTAGTTTCCGTAGATAATATAAAAATTCAAGAATAAATAAAGTCTTCGATTAAATTTCCTAACGTCTATTAGAAAAGGAATTACTTATAAAATGGTATCTAAAACTTTAAAACTTATCTAAAATATAGTTCAATTGAAAAAAACAGACTAGCATTTTGTGATTTATCAAATAAGAATTGTTTCAAAGTATCTTACTAGAGCCCACGGCTACTTTACCAAATTATATTTTGCATTTATGTGATGTTAAAATACTTTTGTGTAAACGGTAAGTACTAAATAAAAAATAAATAAACCTTTGCTAAGGTTCTTTTTTCTAGCAACAATTTGCGCAATATAAGAAGTGTTGGAAACTTTAGGAACATTTAAATGCGTATACAAACTAAAAAGTTAGTTTCTTACATGCTATTGGAAAACTTTGGATGATTCCACTTAAAGTAATCTGTATCATAAAACTTTGATGTTTTTAATGGGGTCGCGCCCTCGTTGGCTTACGTTTCTTCCGTAATCGTCCCTTCAGTATTGTTCTTAATGTTTGTCATCTAGTGTCCTCCAATGGTTTGAGTTCAATCTGGAAATATAGATAGATAAATTAGTATAGTTTATGTTTTCATAGAAAATAATTCTTAATTTCAACTATCAAGATGTCAATCCAAAATTTTAGAACTCAATTTCGACTTTAATGTATGTTATTATAACTAATGCATTAGTAGTACAATCCTGACTAAATGAAAGTGGTAGTTAAATCCTACATGTTAGTATATAGTTTTTGATTTTCACTGACTAAAGACTAGCTAGGTCCTTTGCAATTTGTATGGATATTATTCTGTTAAGAGTAACGAGAGAGTTAAGACTTCTTGTTAATTTTAACACATGTTCGTACCAGACCTAGCAAATCATTTCCATTTAAATTGTGCGTGAATGGGTATTACCCATTACTCATTGGGTAACTTGGGAAAGCGAGCTCCATCATAGGAATGATGCTTGGATGAAAATGTTGCTTAGGTACTCATGTTTGTACCACAGACCTAGAAAACTTTAAGATGGAGACTGACTTGAAATATTTTGGTGTAATGTATCAAATTTTTATAACTTAACCAGACTGACATGTTAAGTTAGTTTGGAATGTGCATTTCGCAGCGAGCGAGCGAGTTTTTCCCAATTCCCTTTTGTGTGTTATATCACAATTCAGTGAACGACGCGTCATGGTGAGAGCAAGTCGTAAGAGCGAGACATCTCGTTTTGAACTCTCGATTTTCGATACCTAAGTAAAGATGCTGTGGGTCAACGAAAAAACTCTTTTATTTGTTAAAAAATACAGAGAAAAATCATATCGTACTCATAAAAATCATCGATAAAACATTATATCCTTACGTCTGCCGTTTTGATTAAAAATTGAGCACATTTGAGCCAAGAGCTCCAATGATGAAACATTACACAAACACTCGCTACAAGAAAGTCTGTGTCATCGTGTTGTAACAAGATCGCCTGGAATGATACTCGTACATTACACACAAACGGTACAAATCAGACTCCAGCTATAGGCTAAAGTGGAGCACTAACGAAATGCTTACCTCGCTAAGGATAACCCAGTACTGACTGTCTGCGGTAACAACCAGTCTGATAGCAGACAATGGCCCCAGGTCTCTTCTGAGCTGGCTCTCAGCGAGACCGAACTCGTCAAACCTCCCCACCACAGTGAAATTACTTTCGTTCACGGGCAACACTTCCACGTTAGTGTCGTAGAATTTGTCCGAAACGTGTTCGACGTTTCCGCTACGAAACACGTATCTGAAAATTATGGGTGGTTTTAAACGTGACTGATAAAATTAGAGCATGTATCGATAAAGTAACTTAATGTTAGGTAGTTTATGTGACAAAAGTGAACGTTTTAATAATCCAATTCAATTGATATGGTCATACGAACTTTCGCTTTCTGTAACTCACGAAATACAGATTTTCAGACGAAGATAACGTTATATCTAAATAGAAGCACCCTTAACTGATTCGGCTCTTGTACAGAAATGAATGTCAAATATATTTTAAACTCTGATAAAAAGTACCTATGACTTAATCTTTTGAATGTCACTTGGTTCATAACAGACGAGATTACTATGTGAATAAAAAATATTTGTGAATAATTATTTTATGTACTTATTTTTATTTAAATATTTTCATATATAAATATAACTACCTGAAACCTGTTGGGATTTCTATCTTTTATAAGTATCAAGCAGTTTAATGCGGGAATAAAAATATAGTAAAATATTACTAACTTATCTAATGCAGTCGGATTCTTGAACCAAAATTCAATGTAATCTCCGGCCTTGGGCTTGAGACCCCAATAGAATGATTGTCCTTCGTAAGCTTTCTTTAATTTGTGGTCTAATTGTTCCTTTATATTAGAACGGATAGTTTTAAGAGGTGGGTTTTGATGTGGGTAGAAAGTAGGCACCTCACCAAAATGTGAATCCTGTAATGGAACAATGACAATATCAACATGCTTTCATCGGAAATTTAATAAGGCTTAAATTTACACCTTTTAAACTAAACTTCTATAAATTTTGTCCGCGGACTTAAAAATCGGCGGACTTGCTCGCTGGCTCGTTGTGCATGCTTGAAATTCTTAGTCCGCGGTGCGAAAAAACCGCCAGTGGATCAGTCGAGCCGGCGCGGCGGCGACCCGACTCGACCAGGGTTGCCAGGTCTCACGATTTTACTGGAGATCTCCTGTTTTTCTGAAATTTCTCCTGTTCTTCTACACGAATTTACTCTCTGTCTCTCTTAGAATACGATTTTTCTTTTTAAATTGCATACTGAGTTGCGTTTTCTGCCATTAAGAATGTAAGTAACCTAAATTATAACTAAATAAATATATTATTGTTTAAAAAAAAAAGAGATTTGAGGGGGCGGCAGAAGCCACGGAAACACATTCGTTACTGGCCTATATTCGATCGCCTCCCAATTTTTATAAATCGGACCTGGCAACACTGGACACGACAGTCTTTTTGCGACCTTGGTGGCGAGCGCACGCGCTGATCGGCAACATCCAGTAGCTACAATAATGGATTCGTGAGTTTGTGCTGGTGGAGTTTGTACATTTTTTTAAGAAATATGATTGTCTGTGGAAGTACAACAGCAGAGAATATAAAAATAAACTGCTTACACTAAACTACAGGCATATCAAAAACATGTTCCCGACACGTGTACACCGGAGTGGCATATTCATATTTAGTGCGTTCAAGAGGCGAAATTGACACACAATGTATTTTGTTTTCCTGTTAGAGGGGACACTAAACCCAGTAGCTCAATAAACACTTCTCCGGACATCCTCAAACAATTCCGGTAGTCATGTGGTTTACCAATAAGCTATGATATTAAATTTTAATGGGACAAGCGTTGTTTATCTTGCAGCAGATTTCTTACCTACTTACACTTTATGGCGTCTTTTCTTCTTCTTTTTTAGGATTCCGTAGGCAACAAAACGGAACCCTTATGGATTCTTCATGTCTGTCTGTCCGTCCGTCCGTATGTCACCGCCACTTTTTTCCGAAACTATAAGACCTATACTGTTGAAACTTGGTAAATAGATGTATTCTGTAAATCGCAATAAGTTTTTACACAAAAAAAGATTGGGGTTTGAACAAGCTCTAGTAAGTAGTTTCTTTTTAATAAGTCATAAATGGTAAACCGCAATTTGCCTTTCATTCAATCAACTCGACTTTACTTATCAATAACTTAATTTAAAAAAAAAAATATTATTAAAACATCGATACAACGAACTACAAGAACTTTTATATAATGTTACTTGCTGCTACGGAACCCTTTATAGGCGAGTCCGACTCGCACTTCGCCGCTTTTTTGTTATTTCTCCTGTTGTAACAGTATATCTAAGTAACAAAGTAACTCCGTCTGAGAACACGCCATGACTTCGCCAACGATAAAAATTAGAAAAAGATAAAGCTTGGCTCGCCAAATACACCAACGACAGTAAACGAGCCGGCGAACCAACGGTTTAAAGTTTAAACCGTTGGCTCGCTGGTACGCAGATGGATCATTCCCTTAAGACACGCTCAAACTAAAGTTTATATGTATATGTCGCAGAAAATAATTTCAAAATTATCTATTTAAATTCTGGCTAGCTAGTATTCAAAATAGAAGGCGCTCTGTATTTTGACGGATTAACGATAAGGTAGATTGCATTACCGATTAATCGGATTGTATAGAAACATTTCATAACATTTTACATGTGCGCAAAGTCTCATTTATAGTCATAACAAACATTGTAAACAGTAATTAAACATAGCGAAAGTGAGTAAAATCAAGAATTAAACATTAAATACCCACCTTTATTTTTTGTATTTTCCCTTTTAACGATGAATATAAGCCGATGTGTTGAAAGAGCGACGTCTTATATCTGGGACGGACTGTCAATTTATTACCAACGCACGATTTCTGAAAGGTAATATCTATTTCTCAAACATTTGGAGATCATTAATCAACAACCTTCTTCGAGATAAATGGATATTGCTGTACAGGCCACATACATGCGAGCAGCGGCTGGCAGCAGTTGTATGAAAATCCATATCTGTCGTGTTTAGCGGCCAAATAAAATAAATATATCTGTCACGTAATTTAAAAATGGAACGATCTTTTACTCCGAGACATGGCAACCAAGGAGGTAACTAATCAAAGGGTTTATTTAAATTTCGAACTGACTTGCATATAGAAAGCTGTTTATTGAAAAAAAAAAAACAAATGAATGAGTATTGTTGATCGTTGTTCGATTTTGAAAAGAAGGGTAATTGTATTATAAAATAATAGGATCTACCTCGGTACTACTTCGGTTTAATTTCTGCGTATTATTTGAGAAAAGTACTATACAAGCCTTGGTCACAGGCATTGATGGAGTAACCTATGTGACTAGGCAGATACATAGTTTGCACGTACTTATTCTATTATATTATTTATACGGTTACAAAAGTACGATGGCACAAGTGGTTCTTAAGTAATTTTCGCAATGATCTGTCCCATCCTATGGGATGGGTGACCAAAAATTTACTATCTGGATCTCCTTCGTGCTCCAGAAGGCACGTCAAACCATTGATATATGTCGCATCAGAAGTCGTTAACACCTACCGTTCCGCACTGGGTTCGCGTAGTGGGTGACGGTCCAATCAAATCTCCTTTTTCCAGGTATGGGGAGGGCTTGTGCTCCTGCAGTGGAGACATTAGTAGGCTGATCATGGTTATAAACAATTTAAATAAAATAGGTAATATCTCCAGAGCCCAGGCTTTAACTTAGTTGATCACTCTTAAAAAATACTATCAGCAAACTTACAGAGTTCTTCTCAATGGTGCACACTTTGTCAGCCAGGTAGCTTTCGAGGAGCCAGTCTATAGGCATGTTGTTGTAGAAAAGCTGCACGTACGTTATGAAGTGCACAAGGTTGGTAGACTTGAAGAACTTGCCAATGCCTCCGATCTGGCAGAACTCTATGAAAAACCAGTCGGGGCTCGATAGAGTGGTGGCTGCTGCGAACTCTTTCATCTCCTGACAGAAAAAATAACAGGATAGAAACATGACAACAACACTACTGTACGGTTTTCATACCGTTTTATGATAGAGTTAATAAAGTAAAAGTCCTGAAATATTATAAATGATATATTCAGTCAATTAAACTTATAAAAATCATATGATAATTGATATGAGTATGCGCGGCGAGAATGAATACCGATGTCAGACTGTCGGCACGTTCTTATATTTTATTTCATGAGATCTTGAGGGAGGATCTCGATGGCGCAAGTAGTTAGTTTGTGTATTGTTTTATTTTAAGTATTTCACTGCTAGATGTCCAAATCCAAAGAAATGTTCGCTAGAAAAAAATCCACTTTTGCCCGGATAGCGGAAGATGCGGGTTCGAAGCCCGTCTAACCTAGACCTAGTAGAATTTTTTCGAATGAAATTTTCTTTAGAGTTAGTTTGTGTGTGGTCTTCGATCGTGGAATTTACACAACTTTCGCAACAGCCGGTCATCGAATGAGTAACCAAAATTTATTTTGCTTTATTTTTAACTAGCTATGCCCCGCGATGTTACCCGCGGTTTATTAGGGATATTTCCCTGCAGTAAAACGTAGCCTACATGTGATAGCTATGTATCATGGAGTTAGCTGACATCGTTATATGTATATATAACGATGTCAGCTAACTCCATACCAAATTTTATTAAAATCTCTCCAGCCGTTTAGATGTGAAGAAGTAACAAACATACACTCAAAAACTTTCGCCTTTATAATATTAGTGTGATAATGCTAAGAGGCAAGACTTATGTCCCTTATAATTTACAAATAGAAATGCACACAGAAGAACTCGCAGTGACACAGACCGAGCAAATGAGGATCGCATAGCATTCATTTTTCCTATGTACCTAAACAATCGCTTTGAATAATATTTTCAACCATTATGCATTTCAACACAAGTACAAGCAGAGCTACAAAAAATAATTGCGGTACTCAAAGCTTAGAGTCAAATCTATTACATAATAGGTTTGATTGAAGTTAATGCTGGCAATATGTTTGCTATAGTAATAATAAGACAAAACGCCACTTTGACTTCCACTTATGTGTCGAAAAATGAGCCTAATCAATGAATTAAAAATATAACTAATGGGATTTATTATTCACTCGTACCACATAAAAATGTCGTTAAAAATGGCACCACAGATAATATTTTTATAGTAATGACGACCTCCGTGGCCGAGTGGTTTGTACGCCGGGTTTCATGGTGTCGCCGACTTAAGAGGTCCCAGGTCCGTATCCCCGGTGGGATGATGATGAGATGTTTGTGTGATGAATACGTGCATTTGTACTCCAGTTATGGATGTTTAATATGTATTTCTATATAAATATACTTATATATGCATAGTATATGTATTCTATCCGTTACCCTAGTATCCCATAACACAAGCCTTATAGTGCTTACTTTGGGGCTAAGCTAATTGGTGTGTGTGTTGGAAATATAAAAAAAAAATCTTTAAATTAATTAGAATAAGCTACGGAAATCATACAAAAATAAACCTGATTGGCAAAAGCTTGATTAAGTAACAGATTAAAATAATATATTGCAAGCCCATATTAAAACATTTACATCCATGTCATATCTACAGTTACAATGTGACGAATACAGTCACGTCATTTTTAATACAACCAATCATAACCAAGGAAATGAATAAAAACCAATACTATTAGCTATCATCTGTCAGTCAATGTCAAATTGCGTCTAGGTAATAACGTTTATAAATACGCAGATTCCAAATTTTCTAAGTTAATTTAATTCAGATTTTCACCATTTTTTATTGAATTAATTAAGATTTTGATTTGTGAGGTTTTTTAAGTATATAGTATAAGTTTCTAGGTACAGTATTAGGCAGAAATTTAAGGTCTAATTTAATTGTTGTCATTGAGTCAGTAACTAATTAGCAGATATTTTTAAGACCTACTTGCACAAAAGTACCTAAATGAAATAAAAACATAATCACGAATAAGCCTTATTATTTTTTTCTTTTAAAATACTTAATATTGTTTAAATTGGGAATTTTGACGGAACAAGTTGCCCTAAAACTCATTAAAAACTACTTAAGAAAAACTACGTAACCTTAACACAACCACATATCTTGTCAAGAAAGTTTTCCAGGAAGGCACAGATAAGTATGATAGGCATTAGATCGTTGATATATCGTCGTATGTTGGCACTTCACATGGCTATTCTCAGTAGTAACTACATGTTTGTTAATTTAACTGCAATCTCTCCTTTTCGTTGTTTAAAGAACATTGTTTTGGTGCATTGCTTTTAAATTTACAATCAGCAAATTGGTAGTAAGCCGAATATGAACTGGTAGCATTACTAGTTCTTACATGTTAATGCTGTTTTAAAAAAACTTTATATTACAATAGTATGCGAAAAGACATACAACCTACTGTATTAGATTCAACAGAAGGTACCTACATGCAAAACCTATGCTATACAAGAAAAACAAAAATCAAAAAACTAGTAGAGTCTGTGCGGAAAGAGAATGGGCGTGGCGAAAAACGGAACTAACATTAAGATTTAAAGAAAATATAACAAGAAAAAATTCCACGCGGACCAGGCAGCAGACGGGACTTGAACCCGCAACCTTCGCAATCCGGGCGAATGCCCTGACCAATTATGCTACCGCGGCCCTCGCGGACCGCGTCGAAATTCCTCTAGCCACTCTTAAGCTGCAAGGCAACGCCATCTCTTCGCATTATAGGTAACCCAAAATGTCAAATGAATACTTTTACCAGTATTAAACATTTGAAAGAAGAAATAGCAATTATAGTTACAATTTTTATTTTTTTAAAGCATGTAACTCCTTGATGTTTATATTTTCTTTAGATTTAACAATCAAGCAGTTACATGCTTTAAAAAATTAAAAATTATAACTAACATTAAGATTTTTATTTGGCAATCAAACCCAGCAATCTGTCAAACGTCAAAGTTTTGTATTGATACGGATTTGTTTGTTGTTGTGATTTCTTGCGGTTTTTTGTATTTAATCATGTCTAAAAGGGTAAAACCTTACAAATACGGTAGAAAAGCACTACAGCGCCCTCCAATCTAAATCCCATTCTCTTTCCGCACATACTCTAATAGAACTGAAGTACATATCACATTGCTACTATTCTCGTCAACACAGGGAGACAAAACAGCACACGGAAATAAAACATAAAAAACAAGTGAAATTAAAGAAGATTAGACTTAAGTTGACAGACGGATTGTATTTCAACGGCATTCCAATTTCCAAATTGCATCAAATGCTTTTGACAGAACTGCAGTGAAATTGCCAACCACCCTTGCAGTCAGTGTGCACTTCTCAGTACGCGTAGTTGGTAGTTTCATTGCAGTCATGCCAACTGCAAAAGCGGTTGAACAATACAGTCCATTTGCCTTGACTCCAGAGCTTTATTATAAGAAAACTGTATTCGAATTCTTACTTGCATGTAATTTTTCTTAGCGATGACGTCATCCTCCAGCATCAAATAGTAAACTCCCTTCGACTGCGCATATGCCATTAGGTATATCGTGTCGAGATTCTGTTTAGTCCTCCACTTTACTCTCTTTAGTGAATCGCCCAAAGTTACAGGCAAAGTTTCAAAGTCGGGATAGTACGAAGGTGACGGCGAAATCACTTCAATAAGTCCAATTTCCACTAATTTGGGAAATCTAAAAACGATAAATGAAATTTTATTTTGGAGCATTGTCTTGTTTATATAATATTTATGTCTTTTATACATTATAGCTGACATCTAAGGCAATTAGTTTAACTAATAAAACTAGCTTATTATTTTATATCAAAAACAGGTTTTTAACGAAATATCTATATTGTACGAAATCATAGGGGCGAGCTGTTAAAGTAAGTCCACTTTAATAAAAACCGCTGCAGTACCTTTTAACAAATCATTAAGAAAATATCCAGAAACTGATCTATTAATATGCGCACGAGACATTTTTTTTTCAAAAACCGGCACGTCCCGCCGAAGTCGGGACGTCTGGCAACGCTGGTAGAAGTCTAGGTAAATTAACAGCAACCATTTAGTTTGAATCGCATCATAACATCTACTTAGGTATATCGTAACGTGCAAGCTCTTTTCCGATTTCATTAATTCGAATGTTTGACAAAGGTCTTATATCTATTACAGGCTGCTTCAACGGAGCGTGTGATGACGTAATGCATATTAAACTTATGACTAAAATTGGAGCTATCGTTTCGGAATTGATATTTTAATTATACAGCATCACTCTACTGAATGGAATACTTACTGGCTCTCAATCTGTCTGGCTGTGCTGATTACGTATTCTAGGTCAGTCTCCCCGATCATGACCACTATGAGAGTAGAGTTCAAATCCTGTACACTCAATTCGTTAACCAAGTGCTAAAAATTTAAGAATAACAACAAATTTATTATCACCATGACGTCATTAGCAAACAGGAAAGTTAATGAGAGGACGTACTATGTAAATGGGAAGTAAGTGCATATAAACCGTAAGGGCAGTGTAGTTTACTAACCTAACTAGGTTAATGTTCCTGCCTGGGTTAATTTACGTAAGTGCATTAACTCTTTGCCATAAAAATGCTTAGCGATGACGGCAGAACTTCAAAGGTGCAGCTTAATAATAAAAAGTGTCATTCATCATTCGCAAGCCACACATACTACATGGCAACCAATAATATCTTTATTGACCACATTAAAATGGTACAAAAAGCGGACTTTTAATAAAGTGACATCTTAAATTTTGCATTTGATGAGCTTATCGCTTACAAGAGTTTCTGAATCTGATAGGATTGTCTCTTGATAGGCTTTCACTCTCTGAACTCGAAATATAGCAGTTGGCGCATTAAATTTTTTCTTTTGCTCCCAGTCCAGCATGGTAGACGTATCTACTAAACACACCTATCTACTAAATATTGACACTGGTGGTAATCCTAAACTATAATATTTTAGCGGATGAAAAGTACACAAAAGTACTTACACTTTTAAATGCAATGTATCTTAAAACATAATTGAGTTTCTAAGCAAACATTATTATTTCCTGATAATGCACACAACATTCTGATAGGCAACTTGGTTATTTACTTAGGGCTAGATTACTGGGGAGTTAAGAAATAGTCTCCATGACCATACACAGCTAGGTATTCCACGATCGTTTCTATTCCAAGCAGCAAAATAAACTTTAAACGAAATTAAATCAATACTTACTGACAACGTTATCATGAGGTAATTCTCTTTGTCCCTTTTAACACTTGGAATGCCGATCACTACATCAGCAAACAACCGTCCACTCTTCATATGAAAAGCAGGTCTGAGACTGCTATGGTCGTTCATAAGGTGTGGCAGAAGGTGGTATACGAAAGGCAGCTTCAGTGCTTGGCTGTTCTTCTGAAGAGCACCAGCAGCTGCCCTTGATCCTGTTATTAAAATAAATAGATTTTTTTGCAATCAGTGCTACTAAAAAGGCAAATTTTATGGAAAAGTAGTAGTAGAGAAATTAAAGCACCCATGTCGGAAAGAAATGGCGGAGGCGAAACCAAACACTGCCGTAAAATAACATTCCCTTTTTTGTTCTGTTTTCTAAGGCCGCGCTGTTTCATTGATAGTAAAAATTTGGCTTAACTTAATGCCACGTCAAATACCTACATAAAAGGAAACTAAATATCTGTTTAATTATATACAAACAATTTTTATTTTAACATACATTGGTTTATAACAAATAATATATTCTACAGTCTACACTAAAGCAAGTAGCATAGGAAATCAGGTATCTAGTGTAATATAATAAAATATTACATACTCCATATGTATCAAAACTTCAAGTGATAGAAGTTGATAGATACTACTATTCACCAGAGTACCTCTTAGCCAACACTATAAAAAACATGGAACCATAGCTCGGAACAGGGACTCCTCTAGTCTCTTTCTCCGAAACGAACTTTAGGTATCTAACGAAGTTCAAACTAAATTCATTTCGTCAATTTGGGGTTATACTTAATCTGAACGATAAACTATCAAATTCATTTTCTTATTGAGTAAGCTTAGGGAATCTTAACCTTAATATATTTTCCGGCGAACGTATATGTATATACAATTTTTGTTATACGTTACTAATAATTATAGTAAGGAATAAGAAAAATAGTAAGAAATGTGCCAAGTTCTGATCGAAATTTCGTTTTTAGTAAGAGAATGCCTCCAGCAGTGCTATTCTGTAAAATTTTCACGAGCGGATACGATGTGGATCCGCGCAGATTTATATCGAAACCGCGAGTGAAAATTTTACACAATAGTACTGCGGTCGGTCGGTGAAGAACTCACACGACTGATAGCAAGAGAGATGAATGGTGGATTTTAGCTATTCGCGAATAATGAAACAGTTATAATAACATTAGCATTTTCAAAAATAGTGTAAAATAGAATTCATTCGCTCATGTCGGTTTAATTGCTACGCTATTTACTTTAGTCTACTAATAGTACAACAAATGTTCTTATATACCTAAGTGAATCATTTAATGAAACGTCGTAGAATTCGACGTCTCATCAAGATTTTCATTGAGCTTTCGATTGGTTGATGAGAGACTCAGTAAATTAAAAAAAGTTTTGTCTAATATATAGTGTTAATTGGTGAAACTTTTGTGAATATTATAATATAATACGAATATTTGCTATACGACAAATGAATTTTACTTTAGACGCCAAACTCGACATTGTTATTTTTTCCTGAATACTAAGGCGCTAATGTTGATTATCATGCATGTGTATAAATCAGTAAAATATATGATTAAAAAACTTAATCCACTAAAAAACAAAAGCCACTGATAATAATTATGACAATAACACTTATCGTATGCGCTGTTTGAAATTATATTATGTTCATTAGCTTTATTATTAAATGAGTGACAAAGTGATGTGCATATTATGTATGTGTAAACTAGACAAATGTAAAACATTGTCAAAAACATGTATGTGACACTGGCATGTGCAGCGATGACAGTGCAGGTTATGTATGACACCAAAATATAAACCCATTGCGGTTCCCTTTGGTGTGCAAATAAATTGCTTGTATAAATAAATTGTTAATAGTAGAAATAAAGAGAAAAAATCTTTTTTTTTTCTTTTTCCACTAAGAAGTATCTCTTGATTTTTTAGTTAAGTTTGTAATTACAATAAAAAATAGGTTTTTTTTTTATTTTCTGTTTTTTCACTAAGAGGTATCTTTTGACTTCTTAGAGTATGTGCAGAAAGAGAATGGGAATTAGATTTGAGGGCGCAGTAATGCTTTTCTACCGTATTTGTAAGGTTTTACCCGTTTTAGACATGATTAAATACAAAAAACCGAAAAAAGAATCACAAGAACAAACAAATCAGTATCAATACAAAACTTTGACGTTTGACAGATGGCTGGGTTGGATTGCTTAAAAAAATCTTAATGTTAGTTCCGGTTTTCGCCACGCCCATTCCTTTCCGCACATACTATAGTTAAGTTTAAATTTACAATCCCTTATAAAAATATAGACAGAAAAGTACAAAATGATGTGCCAATTTATTTGTATATTTTATACAAAATGGCCGATTTATCGATCGGCCATTTTACTAACATTAATATTATATATTATATAATATATATTTAATGTCTAGTTCTGAAATTGATAGTGATGGAAACTCTTTTCAATCTTTGTCTCCTGCTAGCAAATGCACTGACTCCAGTTTTTTTAGTATACCTTCCCTTTTTGATTGCTTTGACAGCAAATTTTCTGATGTTCCTAAAAATTTTAACGCTGTTCATATAAATGCCCAAAGTATTCCGGCTCATTACACTGATATGCTGGCGTCTCTTGACCACAAAAATCTTCATGCTGTTCTAGACTCCGAATCTGCTTTGCCCGGCTTCAATCTGCTACGCAATGATCGCACGGGCTCCCGAGGTGGTGCAGTTGCTATTTATTTACGTTCCCAAATTCCTTACACTATAATTAGCTCCTCCACACAGCCTCCTCCAAATGATGCCGGTGAACATTTATTTGTCGAGGCGACCCTCTCGCACACCAAAATCCTTCTCGGAGTCTATTACAGCCCTTCTTTAAATGTCAACTATTTCAGGTTTTTCGAGCAACTCCTGGGTGATTTGGTTCCCTCTTACAGCCACACTTTGATCATGGGCGATTTCAATACTTGTCTTTTGAAAAATTACTCTCGTACATATTCTCTTCAATCCATAATTAATTCTTGTAACCTACATATTCTCCCCCTTAGCGCTACTCATCACTTTCCAAACACTACTCCCTCACTTCTTGACCTAATAATTGTATCTTCTCCTCATCGTATTATGAAGCATGGTCAATGTTCGGCAGATGCCTTCTCATACCATGACTTAATTTTCTTGTCCTATAAAATTCGGTCTCCAAAAATTAAGCCCAAAGTTATTCTTCAGCGGAATTTTGGTGGTATGGATAAGGAAGCACTATTAAGCGACGCTCTTAGTACTGATTAGACATTAGTAACTGACGCGGTGTCTGTAGACGAACAGGTCGAGAACTTTAATCAAATTATCACTGAACTTTACGATAAACATGCCCCTTTTCGTCCCATTAAGCTAAAACACCTACCAGCGCCTTGGCTCACGAACGACATCAGAGCATTAATGCACAAGAAGGATGTTGCCAAAAACAAGTATAAACGCCGACCGACTGGCTCCAACAAAGCTAACTACGTTAGAGCCCGTAACTACTGCAACTTGGTGTGTAGGGATGCTTTACGTCGCCATATTCACGTCTCAGTAGATAATAAAGATCCTGCTAAAGTCTGGAATTTTCTTAAGTCATTTGGAATTGGTAAGCCCCGACAAGAATCTGTTCCCAGTAGCATTAACGTCAACTCCTTAAACCTTCACTTTTCATCTTTTTCTAGACGAATTGACTCAGACAAGATTAACACTTTAAATTATCTTTCTTTTTTACCAGTTCCAGACTACTCTCCTTTTGCTTTTACTCAATTCTCTGAATATGACGTTAAGAAGAGTGTTCTTTCTATCTCATCCAATGCGGTGGGGAGTGACAGTATAAGTCGCAACATGTTAATACCAATCTTAGATATAATTCTTCCTGTGCTGACTTTCCTTTTTAACAATTCTATTCTTAACGCTGTTTTTCCATCGGCTTGGAAGCAAGCTCAAATTATCCCTTTGCCAAAAAAATCAAATCCTCAATCTGTCGCTGATTTTCGTCCCATTTCCATTCTTCCTTTTCTATCTAAGGCTCTTGAGCGCCTTGTACGTAATCAATTTAATATATTCCTTTCTCGCCACGATCTCTTTAATCCTTCTTCAGTCTTGGGATGGACCACGGTTTCCTTACGGTATTAACACTGTTGGACTTTATCAATGCCTTTAACACTGTCAACTTTGAAATTCTTTTGGCATTGTTATGCTCACTTAACGTATCTCCATCGACGATTGAGTGGTTTCACAGTTATCTGTATGGGCGCAGGCAACGAGTCCGCTTCGACGAGACGTTTTCTTCTTGGTGTGACACGACTGTTGGCGTTCCACAAGGCGGTGTGTTATCTCTTCTACTCTTCGCTGTATTGATCAATTCTATTTCTAATAATATTTCTTCTTCCTACCACCTGTATGCAGATGACCTCCAGATTTATCAACAAGCTCCCGTTGGTGAACTTGGTGATGTAGTACACTAATTTTGCCTTGAACAGTATTTTGGAATGGAGTAAATCTTTTGGGCTGGACGTTAATCCTTCTAAAACAAACACTATTATAATAGGGAGTTCCAGGATGATCACTAGAGTTGACTGGCAATCACTCCCCAAAGTCCATCTTGCGGGCACCAATATTCCATTTAGCACCTCAGTGAAAAACTTAGGGTTTAACTTTCGACAGCTGCATGAGTTGGGGACCCCAGATGCAAGTGCTCAGTCGTAAACTGTTTGCTTCCGCAGTTTCTTTAAAGAGACTGCGTAATTTCCTACCCACTACCACCAAAATTACCTTAGCTCAGACACTCTTGCTTCCTATTCTTGATTATGCTGACGTCTGCTATCTAGATCTCACGGAGACGCAGCTTGATAAACTTGAGCGACTTCAGAATTTCTGTATACGATTCATATTTGGCCTGCGCAAATATGATCATGTTTCTCAATTTCGTTCACAGCTCAAGTGGCTGCGTATTCGCTTCCGCCGGAATCCGGATCATATCCTTATTGTTTCTTCTCTATAACGCACTGTTTAATCCTTTGACCCCGCGCTATCTTAAGGAATGTTTTAACTTCCTTCACACCTCTAACACATTGTCCCTAAGGTCATCAGAAAATTTTGCTCTTATTACACCTGTGCACGGAACAACTTTTTATGGCCGCTCATTCGCAGTGCAAGCTCTTCGCCTATGGAATTCGCTTCCAGTTTCCATTAGACCTGCAGAATCTCTGCACAGATTCAAAAACATTCTAAGATCTCACTATCTGTCCTTATAGGTCTTCTATTCTATTTATTTCCTCTCACCGAATTACACAATTATATATGTATTTTTTTAGTATGTGTATATATATATATATATATATATATTTGTATATATTTACCTATGTATGTATGAGTGTATGTATGTATATCTATGTATTTATGTGTTTATTTTTTTTATATACTCGGTTTGTACAGAGATTTTCTCGTGTATTATTGCAGTTAATTACACCGCCGTCTTTCCTGCTTCTTTCTTGTCCTCTTCATCCCAAGGTTGCCTGGAAGAGATCGCTCTTAGCGATAAGACCGCCCATTTTTACACTGTAAGCAGCCATTATATATAATGTTTTATATTTTGTTTTGTGGTGTAAAATAAAGAGTTTTTATTATTATTCTCTTTATTTATTTTATACCATATTGATTACATTTTTAAATATTGATATAAAAATAAAAACATTTAAAAATATAAAAAATAGAAGCCAACCGGCAATTATTATTATTATTTTTGCTTACGCTGATTCCGAGATTCTCAAAGGAAAAATTAAAATTTTAAACATAAGAAGAATCTAAATTAAGCATTAATCACAGTTATGAAGAACGTCGATAACCTTAGAATAAATTACGATGAAAATGGCGTAGAACCTGGTTAAATTGCACAATTCAAATAGATACTCTTAAAATGTTCTTTACTGTTTATCTGTCTGTGCCAGACAAATTCATGTGGCAAAGTTATGCATCGGTTAGGTATGATATAATGAATTCGCATAGTGCAGTACATAATTATGATAATCGCTATTCGCTGAGCATAGATACTTTTAAATAAGTAATACATAACAAAAAACAACAGACTACAGAAGTAAATATATTCTATTAGGAAATAGATTTTTATTGTTTAGAAAAAAATACTAGAAAACATTCCACTCCAGATAAGATTTGAAGCTTAAGCACCTTCCGCTATCCGGACGGTCGCCTTAACCAATTTTATGATGGACCTATTCAAAAATGCCAAACTCTAAACCTTGAAAATAGTACCCCTGAAAGGAGAATGCCTGATGTTCATATAAAGTTAGGCCATGATTGCGCTTTATTGAAGTTTGTACCAAACAATAATAGGGAAATAGCTTTAAATAATTTAGGAAAAATATACATTATGCTGCAGAAGTTTGGAGAAATCGTATCGTTAAGTTGTAAATTGGGTTTTTATTTCTGTGGCTTTCTCAGTTATACACAGAAATTTCGCCAATGTCCAGTAGTGAGAGAGACACGAGAAAGACTGCTCGGTAGAAACAGATTATGGTGATATAAAGTGATGGGTAGAACAGACAATTATTTTCAAATAAAAATAGAAAGGTTATTATAACTTAGAGTTTAATGTTGTATTTTTTTATATATTTACATAAAGACAAAAATTAAAAAAAAATATATAACCGACTTCAAAATCAAAAATGTAGTTCCATTTTCGATTTTGGAGTCGGTTATATTATTTGTTATAAAGTAAAACATATTATCTGGTTCATGATTTGGAAGTCGTATTATTTATTTTTTTATTTACACTTTATTGCAAAACAAACAGCAAATGGCGGACATAATGCCATAAGGCATTCTCTACCAGTCAACCAGTAAAAGCGTGAGAAATAAAAATACGGGGGTGCAATAAGGACATATGCTAAATAAACCAGGTAGGTAATATATATGTCGTGGCCATATCGTAGATTTGCTCACTTCATGAAATGGTCGAGAATTTCATGAAATGTTTCACTATCTATTGGCCGCATCATGATGTGGTTTGGGCAGATGAATGATGTGATATCGTTTCACGATATGGCCAAATAAACGCGTGGCTACTTCATGAAATGGCAAAAAAAATATTTGATCATATTGTAAAGTAGTTACATTAATTACCGGTAGAGGCGCTGCAAGCGCTTTGTTTATATATATGTCGTGGCCATATCGTAGATTTGATCACTTCATGAAATGCTCGAGAATTTCATGAAATGGTCGCATTTCATGAAATGTTTCACTATCTATTGGCCACATCATGATGTGGTTTGGGCAGATCAATGATGTGATATCGTTTCACGATATGGCCAACTAAACGCGTGGCTACTTCATGAAATGGCAAAAATGATTTGATCATATTGTAAAGTAGTTACATTAATTACCGGTAGAGGTGCTGCAAGCGCTTTGTTTATATATTTATTTATATGACGGCCGCTGCCGACAATGTTGTTTCTCGCAGTGAAAAAGTGCATAATTCGTTATTAAAGGAGACAAATTAAGGAGAGTTGGGTGATTAATTAGGTATTTTGGCCATCGTGCGTAGTTCATAAAAACACCACTAGATGTCAGCAAACTATAAATTTATCGCTGTTAGGAGATAGCTAGAAATTTCCTTTTATTATTTGGCAAATTTTTGAGATTTTTCAAATTGACCTTAGATTGGGGGGGGGGGGTCATGTGACCATCTGATTGCAACGATTTCTAGCAATCCTAAAAGCATTCCAATGTAAATCAGTGCGGCATCTTTTATAAATGTGAAAAGCTTTGTCACGCTTTCGCATGGCCATACGCAATTTGACCTTTTTTATAGGAGCGTGCTTATCAAATAAAGTGTTTAAAAAAACAGAAATAACGAATAAAAGAAACTAACTAGTAACTACTAACTTAGAGATAACAAAAGGCTTAAGCATATTTATCACTACAAACACATAACAATACATCGATCAGCAAAACGACAACAGGATGGCACATATAAAGTTATAAAAAGAAAATAAATATATTTAAAAACATTGAAACGTAAAAATTACACCAAAATAATAGCAAAACCATAGAATAACAAAAAAATGCTGTTTAGGTGTAGCTAATGCCTTTATGTCTGTATGTATGTATGTCGACATAAATAAAAGTAAAAAAAAGTCAACGAAACAACATAAAGGTGACAACTCTGGCGTGACCCTCCAAACCCAAAACCAAATCCAACATCAGTCTCTCCCTTTCATTCTGTATAGAAAATGGCAAGGATATACCGCTGTCAAATCCAAGTTATTATTACCTGTGTTGTTACCTGTTATTAGTTGAATGTGTCATTCTCCTTTATTTATTCTCTTGTGTATTCCCAGTTAACAAAGTACTCGCAAAATATTTTACATAAGTTTTGTTTTCTTGACTTTAAATAAAAAAGGCTCTTTACCGTTGATGTTCTTCAGCAATGCTTGCACTTCCGGTGTAAACGTTGTGGCGGCACTGCCTTCGATAGTAGCAAAACGTTCAGCGAGCGGTTTTTCACTATCTTGTCTCGTCATCATCTTACCCTGAAAATAAAAAAATACAATTACCTACTTGACAAATGAAACTGTACAAGGCGAAACTGCGAGGCCGAAAAACTTTATAGTATATATGCGTTCGGAGAAGTTTATTTTATAAAAAAAGGTAAATTTAAAAAATCAAAAAATCCGAATCCGCTTAATTATTCTTCAAATAAAAACTGAAAAGAAAAAAACAAGTCCAGTAGTCTATAATTCTTTTCATAAGGAACAAAGCTACTTTAACAGTCGAGACCCATTAGATATTCAAGAATACATAATATTAATCAAAAGTGGGTCCCGACTGTTAAAGTAGCTTTGTTCCTTATTAAAAGAATTATAGACTACTGGACTTGTTTTTTTCTTTTCAGTTTTTATTTGAAGAATAATTAAGCAGTCGGGTTTTTTGATTTTTTAAATTTACCTTTTTTATTTCACACTTTTTAGTTAGTATATACCGTAGTCTTGTTACTTCAGTAAGGGAATTAATATTGCGGGAATTATTAAGTACATTGCGGTGGTCTAAAAGATTAATTTATTAAAACATATAGAGACTTTACCAGCGGGGTCAAGGCTACAGATGGGCCTCAATTTTCACAAAAATGTGTGAAGTTAAATCAAGTCGTTACATAAATATCTCTAATGTATGTAAATTATAAAGTAAACTAGCACTTATTCAAAAAGTCATCTTTTGTTTATGTTCTTTTTAGTAGTTTAGCAGTAAATATAAAATTCATTTACTTTTATTCGTCGACTATTTAAAATTGGCAGTAGCTGCTTTGTCATGTCAACACCCGGCTCTAAGATTGTAATATACATAAATGCAGTGTCATATCCAAGTCTCATAATTTGATATACCTACATAATTTACAGAAACCCAATATGTAGATGCCAGAAGTTAACTTCAAATGTTTTTAATCGCCCTATATACAATACCGATCAATGACGTTTATGTCGCAGGTTGAAGAAAGAAGTAATTCCCGTCTCTTGTTTTGGAAAATGGTTGCCACCATTGGATCTCATGGACTGCCTTAGATCACTAAATTAAATAATTATGCAATCACCGAAGCAAAGTAAAACTAAAGGCGCATAATAAAATTTTCATAATCTCATTTATTATCAATTTATACTTCTCTTTGTAGTTTTCTTTTAAAGCGTTCACATTTAACAGGTCAAAGACTTTGTGTTCGACCCTTTTTTATTGGTAGTGTAAAGCTCGAATGAAGAGTACTCCCAGTAGTGCAATCATGGCAATTATTTTCCAAATTTTGTTTTGTTATAAAAATACCGAATAACGTATCACTGTTAAGCACAAATGCTAAGTAACTTTTACAAATATAATCAAATAAACCTATTACTTACTTTATTTTTAAATCTTTTTCATCAATTAAATACTTATCTTATCCTTACTATCTATACTAATATTATAAAGAGGCAAGATATGTATGTTTGTAACAAATAATCTGTCAAACTACTGAAACGGTTTCAAATATTAATTCATCATAAGGTAGCTACATTATTTATTATAACATTTTTCTTTATTTAAATACATTTTGTCCGAGTGACATAGGCTATATTTTATCCCGATAAATAAATTTCGCCCGTACAATGCCCGGGTGGATCACTAGTAAGTATAATATAATATTATAGATGCGAAAGTGAGTTTGTTTGTTGCGCTTCCGTGCCCTAATAGCTAAATCGAATATAATGAATTCCCATATAGAAGTAGATGGGAACTTGGTTCTTAGCTACAACATCGCAATACTTATAGGCGCAGGGTGATGAAAGGGGTGATTTACCTATAAAAAATACATTATTTACTTTGAAATTTGAAGAATTATTACAAAACCTATATTATCGCGAGCTGATTAATAACAGGGATTCCAATAAGTATGTACTTACTAGCGAAAAATGGGTTCTTTGTCATTATATTAAGTAAACCTTTTTTGTAACATTAAGTAATATCGTTAAAAAAATATTAAAAACAGTAAAATTCTGAGTTTTTCATTAAAATTCAATAATCATAAATACCTATTATGATAATATATTTTTCATCATTTAATAAGAAGGAACTGTATCACAGTTTTAATGTTAGTACTTCGTATAGGATCAGATACTGCGAATAGCCCATTTTTTTTTCTTTTACATAGTACACCGCGCTATCACTTTGTCATCGTTGTAACTTTTTAAATAATCGAAATGACATAGTGTAAAAAGCAAAGTTCTCGTTCAAAGTATCGTCTATAAATATCAAAAGCGATTGAAGTATTCGTTTTGATAAAAAATTATTTGTTAATACAAAATGTGCATTTTGGAAATAGATATCAAATAATATTTTAGTTTTGATTCACTATTTTAGCGGTAATGACTTACACATTAAAAATAGATATATGGTGTCACGGACTTTTTTTAGAACTATTTAAGAGATACATTTTCACTCTACATTACATTCATGTAACTTTTATTATTTTTGCAGTGCAGGCCAAAATGACTTGCAGATGGGACATTTTTTTCCGTCTTATGTGACACTTTATGCTATATATTGGCCAATTCACTTAATAACTACATAAATTATTATATATAATTATGTAATTATCATATATGAGCTATATTACTGTTAAGTTTCATTAAAATCCATTCAGTATTTTTTAGGTGAAAGAGTAACAAAGATCCATACAAACGTAAGATTGAAATTAAAAGCGTAAGTGGTTAATATACAACTTTAAAGCGTTGTAGATCCTAAACAATCATGTAAAATGAAAAATGGTGTTAGGAACCTAAATATGATTTTTGATTATCTAGACAGTGATACCCCACTCGACATATTTTGTCAACTTATTTTTTTTACTTCGTCACAATATGGCGCCTAATTTTGCCCATATTGAATTTTGATTACTATTATATCTTTAGAAGCACTCCCATGATTGAGACGAATCGATTGATGTATGAATCATCAAAATCGGTCCAGGCGTTTGGTCTCTAGTGTGCCACAAAGGAACAAACATACATATATAGACTGTTAAACACATAACCCTGTCTGCGCGTCGCGCTTCGCGCTCTTGCATTGTGCAGCCGGGTAAAAAGATTCGAGTGCGTTTGACCACAAGAAGGTATTTGACAGTATTAAAAAAAAAGTGCCAAATTGTTAGCATCTGTGTTTAGAATGAATATTGGCAGGGGTTTTCACTATTTTTACAGAAAAATATTCATAATTTTACTAAAAACCCACGAAAAAGATAATAGTTTTCTTATCTATTGTCCCGTGACCCAAAACACTTGGGATTGGCGGAGCCTAAAATGACGTCACACGCAAGTAAACTTCCGGTTAAAGTGACATTACATTGTCTCGTTTGACGTTTAAATAACAATTGTGTGACGTCACACACCAGTGAGACGTCATATTGTCCAGAGAAACGTTTTCGCGGCAACTTGAAAATGAAGACTTCAATTTGGTTGTTTTTACTGAAATACACAACAGAATGATGAATATCCACTACATTTGTAATAGAAAGTGTCTTCATGAATTATCTAATACTGAAGTCAATTTTCAATTTGATGAGTCTGCTTATAATACAGGCAGAAAATAACAGCCCATGCTGTGTTTCTTGCCGGTTCTTCTCAGTACAAGGTTTCCCGCTGTAGTTTTGCCAACCGACGGCGTAACTTTTCAACATTCACAAGTGCTTGTAACATCCTAGATTAAATAAACGATATTGTATTAAATTTAGAGTTCTATTCCCAAGTGGTTCGCATACGAAAGAGGATGCGAATCGTGAGAACCTTGTCCTGTCCACGTCTCGTTGTCCGATGGTACAAAGAAAAGTGCAGGTGGAATTAATTCGAATAATTCGAACACACTAAAACTTCTTGAGCAAAACCATAGAGAAATATACTTGCCGAGTAGTCGTTTTAGAATGTAAAATTGCTACTGCGCAGGCTCAATTGTCAATGGTCGTTGCTGAAGAAGTTTTCCGGGGTATATACCTGTATGTTTATAATATCCTCTTGTCTTGAGTGGTACAGGGTTTCCAGGAATTCTATGCGGGACTGCATGATCGCTAGACGTCTCTCCATGCTGTCCTCAAGAGGCAGTTGAGCTGTAAATTGAAATACTGAGCTTTATATATAATAGGTAATAAAAGTAATTAGCATACAATTTGTGACTAAGTTAGGCGCTTCTATACCCATACAACAACGATCACTTTTTCAGGTTGTCCCATGAACGACTGATTTTACTAAATAATGTCCTATTCAAATTAAGGTACCAAATTTCTTAATTCAAATTGAGGCTTTATCGTGTTCAAGACATCATTTTCTTCTTTGTCAATTGTTAAAAGTCAAATAGAGATTGAATGAGTCTATCCGTGATAAGATTTTAAATTTGATTTTAGAATTTCGGTGAAAGTGGGCCTTAATCTTTAATACTAAAATTATTTTCTTATACCAAGCAACCGCTGTCTGTTTGTATTTTGATTATAACCATACTAAGAAAAGAAATTGGAGACTTAATTGTGTGTTAATAACAATTATATTTTAATTAATAAATTCAATATTGCCCGCATTATTGAAGTGAAAACTTCTTTAGCGGCGTTGTACACTTTTTTGTAATTGGTAAAAAATGTAAAACTCGCGTTAGGACACGTGACCTAATCGAAAATTCGTAAGACGAAAACAATAAAATTGGAAAGGTTGTTGACTTTCAATATATTGGACGAAACATAGTATTATTTTATTTTATCGTATTATAATAATAAGTCTCTATCTAGGACGTCCAAGTGTGGGAGCTTTATTGCGAAGAACATGCATTTTTTTTACAATAGATGTCGCTAGGTGCGCTTAAATGTGATTCATGTAAGTTAATTTTTCTGAGAGATAAACTTTTAATGTAATATAAATTGTCATGTTTGTGTACGATAGCGCAATAAATAAATATTGTATTCTACCACATAAATGATAGTACTTTTGTACTGATAATTAAAGCAATTCGTGCAAAATTATTCAATAACCATTCCAAAATATCAAAAATGCACAACGTTAATATTCAAGTTTTCACTTCTGCCGGCACTCCCGGAGTGCAACCCGTAGTTTTTTTCCTTGTCTATTGATCAACCACCAAGAATAAATATAGGTATATATATATATAACTACCTTAAAGAGAATTGCCTTAACATTATTACCTTTACAGTGGCTGAAACATATAAGTACCTAACTATTATACTTAAAGGCACGGTAATATATTTCCAGATCAGTGATTCGATTAAATAGATACAACCCCGCCACGCTTCTTACGCCATGTTGTCACCTCATCCGGAAAGGATGACAACGAACAACAATACTTGAAGCCTGAAGTGAAAATCCCAAAGGTTTTTTAATGAAGTTCACAGTTACGCAAGCGAATATTTAAAAAAACAGACAAGAGACGAACAATATAGAACCCGCTTTTTTGTTTGAAGAAGGATATAAATAGATAGTAGTAGTAATACAGTGATAATATTGCATACGTTTTGTTTGCGATGGTTAATCCCCAATCGGGCAGTAATATGTAATTTTTGTTAAAGTAAAAAAAAGCGAGTGAGTGAAGTAGTGTGTCAGTACACAACTACAAAATGAATAACTTGACACACTAGACGCTAGCAAACGTGACAATAAATGCATCAATCTCGGAGCATTAACATGTTGTAACTTGATTAGTTCAAACAAAACAAACTTCAAGCGATGCTGATGCGTACACGTGTCGCTCTGGATTAAACCGGTTTATTGAGGTTTTAGGTACCGCTTTCATTTCGGACTCGCTCCGAACGAAACCTTTACTAGAAACCGGTATTAACCTTAATTTACCGGTGTTTTCGAAACCGGTTACAAGCAGGGCTTGCTTACCGGTTAATTTTCAAACCTAAATCAGTGTCAAGTACATAAAGAGCGTTTTATTTAGGTTTGGCTCTACCTTAACCTTAAAAAACCGGTTTTCCTAAAAAGCGAAATCAAATAGGTTTTGAATCAATTTAGCGGTTTTTAAAGGGTTTCGTTTCGCTCTTACTGACGGCTGAAATAAATACACAACTACAAAATGAATAACTTGACCCACTAGACGCTAGCAAATGTGTCAATAAATGCATCAATCTCTGAGCATTAACAAGTTGTGACGTTGATTAGTTCAAACAAAACAAACTGCAAGTGATGCCGACGGGTGAACGTGTGTGTCACTCTGGATTAAACCGGTTTATTAAGGTTTTAGGTACCGCTTTCATTTCGGACGCACTCCGAACGAAACTTTTACTAAAAACCGGTATTAACCTTTATTTACCGGTATTTTTGAAACCGGTTTCAAGCCCTGGTTACAAGCCCTGCTAGCGTCTTTGGAAATTCGCGCGAATAAATTCAACATTTAATTGGGTAACTGGTTTTAAAAAATAATTTCGATAACGGGAGAAGACATGATAATGTCAGATATTTTATGGGAATTCTGTTAAAATTTTCTTTCGGCCCATTGCGAAAGTTTGGATTAGATAAAAATCATTTCAGCGTTTTGCATACCTGGAGCAACACGACCGAAAGTGGACAATAACCCCATATAAAATTGATTGACAAAAAACATATTTGTAAACCGACAGATTTCTCAGTTTTGTTGATTTGGTACACATTATAATTTATAACCCCAATTAATTTACGAAAACAGGTTTCTATGCCTTTTTCATGACTTATGAAAAAAATATAGCTTTCAATCGATCATTTTTGTCCATAAAATAAGAATAGTGAAACGAGTGGGTGTCCATTAATTCGCCCACGTAAAATAATATTAATCCTCTTATACAAACTTACATCGTTCCCTACTTATTTGTTCAAGTTTTAAGTCATTCATATAAACTCCTAATAAAGTATATAGTTTTATTTATATTGCATCAAATAATTCAAAACAAGTAAGTCAAATAGTATGCATAGGTAGAACTCTACAAAAGATCTATCGTATTCTCAAAGTTGTTTTTATCTTTACACAAATTTTTTTCAGTGATTTGGACTTGAAAATGTAACAGAAAGAGTAAGGTACATTTGCATTAAAATATCAGTATGATGGAAGTGTATCAGAAGCTATCGTATGTTGATAATTTTATAACTGTTAAGTTAAGTCGTCCGGCGCACCCCTATGTGTCCACCAGTAAAACCATGTTATGAGCTCATTGGCGTTTTAAACTTTTTAACTCTAATTAAATAACCCCCGAGTACAGTTTCCCACGGGTGCAATTTACTAATTAAAATATAGAGAAGTATTGAGATTCAACATAAAACATCATCTCGATTTGTAATGAATAATGTATTAAGTGCCACAATTCCTTTTTTTGGCTTGAAATTGGCTTGAGTCTTTGCACATGTCTATATTTTCAGTTAAAAAACTTCGCGCGGTCCAACAAATTAAGATTGTTCGTTCACGTCAATTAAAGTTGTTCAATAAAGTGATTTTACATTGGTTATTAAGCGGCAAGTAGAGATAGACAGTTATTGTTGTATTAGAAACTTTTTTAATTGTCATGTCTTTTATAAAAAAATATATTTTGTCACTTGACAGAGATAACTCAAAATGTAATGGTTTTATTTTAACAACTTTTACTTTAAATTATATATATTTAACATGGCGCAGTCGGTAAACTAATATTTTTTATTGAATTAAGATAGGTGCGTGTGAAGTGAAGTATATAAATATAATATAAAGTGATATAAAGTGATTATTTTTCAAAATGGCACAATCTTCGCAACTAGCCGAAGAAAGGAAAACATTAAATCAATTCCCGCATATAGCACTTCCTTCCCAATTATCTTGGGAAGGTAATTTATCTGAAAATTGGATGTTTTTCAAGCAAAAGTTCGAAATATATCTGCTGGCATCAGGAAACAGCGTAAGTGATGATGCGATAAAAACAGCTTTGCTACTAAGTGCTGTAGGTGATCGAGCATTAAAACTGTACAACACTTTAACATTCGAAAAAATCGACGACAAAAGGCATTTTAATAAAGTAATTGAAAAATTTGATGAACATTTCTGCCCAGATAAAAATGTGACATACGAACGATTTTTGTTTTTTACCCGGAATCAAAAAGAAGAGGAGACATATGAAAACTATGTAATGGAATTGCGTGACTTAAGTGCATCTTGTGAGTTTCGACCACTAACTGAGAGTTTAATAAAAGACAGGATTGTATGTGGAATTTTAGACGTAGCTGTGAAAGATCGTCTTCTACGTACGAAGGAATTGACATTGGCTAGAGCGCTAGAAATATGTTGCACTTCTCAACGAACAAAACAGCAGGTTGAAGCCATTTCGTCTCCAAGTGCGTGTTATTCGGGATTGCATAATTTTTTATCACAAATTGACAAAAGTGATCAAAAAAGTTTGAATATGGTTCGCAACAACACTAAAGAGAATATCTATCCATCAACCTCTGCAGTTAACACACATGTGGATATAAAACGTCACTCTACATCACAGCAGCAAAAGAAACGAAATGGATTTATTTGTAAGAATTGTGGTTATTCTCATGACAGATATAAATGTCCGGCTTTTGGAAAAAACTGTTTAAAATGTGGAAAACGAAATCATTTTTCCACAAAATGCAGAAGCATTAGCGAAATAAAAGAAAACGATGATGAATGTAATGAAATCGATATGCTATTTTTAGGTGCGATTTTTATCAACGCTGTTGTCAACTCAAATGATTGGTGTATTACTTTAGAAATTAATATTTTCCTTTGCAGGTTAAAGTGGACACAGGTGCACAGGCGAATATTTTATCTGACGATTCATTATTTTTCCTTGGTATAGATAAAAATAACTTAATATCAGTTAATACTAAGCTCACCACATATACGGGCGAATGCATTCCGTGCCTAGGTCGATGCTCTCTTTTGTGTAAGTACAATGACAGAATATTTTATCTTAACTTTTATGTTGTTTCTGGACGCTATACTAATATATTAGGACTTAAATCGGCCATTGACATGGAACTTGTAAAACCTTTGCGTGAAATAGAGAAAAAAGTAGATATTTTTCAAGAATTCAAAGATGTTTTTGAAGGTTTAGGTTGCATTAGAGGAGAGTATGATATT